ACCGTTTGCAGGTCCGCCAATTTGTCCGCCATTCCCTTTATCTATTCGTCTCTCTGCAGGCATCTATCTTTCCATACCTGGAGGTCGTCCTCCTTATAATACCTGCTTCGGTCTGATTTCTTTGGTACGTCGCCCTCTTGGCCGACGTCTTTATCCCCGTGATTCTTATCACGAGCCTTTTCGTTGCAGTTGTATTCTTCGACGTCAAGGTCAATATGTTTCCTACTCCTAGTAGGAATGTCATTCCCAACCTTCTGTTTCTGTCTGTCGTTGGCCATCTATTCTCCTGTCTTTCCCACAGACAGCGCCAAATTGTGTGTGTCAATTTTCGACCACACTGCCAAACAGATACTCAGCTAGAGAATACCGGCAGAATAGATTAAGCCCGAACGACCTATCAACAAAAAGAAGAGATTCCGGCGGTGGTTCGTCCACCCGGGGGTACTCTGACGATCAAGTCAGTTATCTCTCAAAGATAGCAAAAGTGCTTAACTCACTATTCAGAATACAAAAAGCATACTTTAAACCTATGAGGGTGCCTCTCTTTTATAGCCAACACTGACCTAATCCCATTAGAAGCCTAACTTCAATGGATTTAGAATTACTGCTAATCTTGGACTCCCAGTAAGATTTTATCTTTACCCAAACTGAAGTCCCTTCTCATTCTAGGACTCTTGTCCCTTATCTGCTTATCTCGGATTCTGGTATCTTCGCAGATAACCTCGGCCTTGCCGAGATTATCTCGGCGTCATGTCCAAAACACGTGACATCTCAGCTGGCACTCTGGTACCATCTCGGCCACGTGTTGTCATTCAAAAATTATGTCCCCACAGTATAATTGCTACTTTTTAGTGGCGATGCAATTGTTTTTTAGTGATTGTGCAATTGCTACTTCAGAAATACTTTGAAACTCTAAAAAAGGACTTCTAGTGAGAGTTTTAATGCGTGAGATCCATTTATGATATGATACTTATGTTTGTTTTTCTTTTTCTTTTATTAATTTTTTTTTACCCTGTTTGTTGTGTAGAGCTTCGTTTTGAGTTCAACAATTAGAGTTTTGTAACACGATTGTTGATACTTTAAGTGACAATTTTTTAAATGTCTTTAATCAATTAGTTATGTTATAAATGGGATAAAATAAATAAATAAATTATATATATATATATATATATATATATATATATATTATTAAAAGCAACTAAGTCTTTGTGTAAGTTGGAATTTTACATGATATGACTTAGAAGGATTGACCAACTCATATTTTGAATTTGTAATTTATATAATCCTAAATATATATATATTGTGATCCATTTAGTTTTTTTAGATGTGTACAATGATTCATTTGCTCATCATATTGGAGTGTCATATTGGAAAAAAACATACTAAGAAAATTTTTAGTGTCACATCATACTCGTCACGTTAGAGTATCAAATTTGAAAAAAATATACTAAGGAGTTTTTAATTTTTTTAAAGTGTCACATCATACCCGTTGGAGAGTCGTATATCACATTTGAGAAAAATATACTAAGAAATTTTTAGTTTTTTTTGGAGTATCACATCATAATTTTTAATTTTTTTGGAGTGTCACATCATACTATTACGTTAGAGTGTCATATGTTGCATGTGAGAAAAGTATATTAAGAAATTTTTAGTTGTCACATCATTTGCCACATTATTATATTTGAAAAAAGTATACAAAAAAATTTTTAATTTTTAATTTTTTGAGTATCACATCATACCCACCATATTGGAGTGTCACATATTACATTTGAGAAAAGTACAATAAGAAATTTTTAGTTTTTTTAAGTGTTACATCATATCCGCCACATTAGAGTGTCACATTAATACTCATCATATTAGAGTGCCACATCATATCTGGCACATTAATAAAAAGGTATAACCGTCCACCAAAATATTATTAAAATAAAAAATAGGACTATATGAAAAAAAAAACTGTTTACTAATATAATTTAACAAATCAATAAAAAAAAATTAGAACTAATTGAAGTTCTTGTACTTTACTAATTCAAATCCTCCACTCAGAAAAATCTAAATGAATTAGTGAGGGTGAATGCATAGCATTATGGTTTGCAAGCGTTGCACGTCCTACCAATCAAACAATTATAGAAGTTTACAAAAGAAAAACGATTGGTGAGTGACTGTGTGGATCCGATTTCACTAGGAAAGTGCAACAAAGGCGAAAAACATTTTTCGTTGTACATTATTAGTTTCTTCTCCCTCACAACACTCAAAAAAAACCAACTCTTTGATACACTCTCTGATTGAGAGTCAAATTCGTATACTCTCAGCTTCCTCCCACAGCTTCTCCTTCACATCCGCTTGTGTAGATTACTTTTTCCATATTTAGGAACAAACCCAATTTCCCAGTGCTGGTAAACCGTTTCTAACCACCCTTACTTCTCTCTCTAGAACTGAGTGAACAGGAGTAATGCCAAAAATATATCAAGTTACCAAAAAGCTAGCTATATTCTTGCCTGCTAACTTGATGGATCAAATGTTCAAGCAAAATACTAAGCTTTGGTAATTTAATAGTTGAAAGTTAAACAACTAGTAGTTGTAATGTATAGCAGGAAAGAGTAAGCACCTTTTTTCCAATACATTTCTAAAAATTGGACATGTATGGTTAAATAAATCGTTTATTTTATTAAAATTAAATATGATGAAGTCATATCTCTATAATATTATATTAGTTTTTGATCTTTTTTCATGATGATTTACAGATAGGACTTACAAAATGAATTATGAGAATGGAATCCATAATTTACAAAAAGGCCCAGATTTGACATGTGTAATTAAGATCATGATCATCTCCATTATATATTTAATATCTATAAAATAAATATATAAATTTATCATTATGTCAAATTATTAAATAGCTATTAGACTCATTAAGGTAGTTTTTCACAACCGTTAATGATTTAAAAATTAATTGAAAATTGATGTGTGAGTTAATTTGTGCTAACCTACACCTGCAATGAATCTTTATCACAAGATTAGTTTTCTGAATGTTTTATGAATAAATATTTTGGATGTGTAGTATTATTGAATTTTTTTGTTTTTGTTTTTGTTTTTGTTTTTGTTTTTTGAATGATATACTAATTCAATTGACATTCAATTGGCTTGCCATAGTACTAGCAAGTGAATCAATTATTCAAGCACCATTTTTTTGGCATTGAATAACACGATTTTTTTGTAGTCCTTATATTTAAAATTTAAATACTAATTAAAAATATTATTCAGTGTGTTTGATTTTAATTTTATGAATTTAATTTTTTAGAAATTGAGTTTTTTATTTTTCATATTTTTTTATTTTTAGTAAATATTTGTAAAATTTTAACCAATTTTTTAAAGTTTTTTAGATGTACTTTATTTAGATGTATCTAAAAAGTAAAATATTTTAAAAAATCAATAAATACACAAGAATACAAATATGTACTGAATTCTGATTTTTTTTTATATTTTTAGTATTTAGTGAATTTTCTAAAGATTTTTTTCACAAATATTATATATTTTAAATGTATTTATGTTAGGTGTATCTAAAAATTAAAAAAATTACTTAAAAATTCAGTGAAAATAAAAAAAAATATGGATAACAAAAAATTCAATTTTCTAAAAAGTGAATTCTGAAAATTCAAACCAAACAAGTTGATTATTACCATAATGAAAAATCATATACAAACCCACTTTCTATACCCAATGATATGTTAGAGATATAATTAATTAATAATTAGAAAAAAATATAAGAGAGAGTTTTACTTTAAATATCTTAATTAATTGCCATATTATTAAATTTAAAAATTATATTTAATTTTTAAATTTGTATAACATGCCCTTAGTGTAATTTGTATGAAATTTACTTATAAAAGTTACTTTTGCGTAGGTAGGGGTGTAATTTTGGCTCGTGACCCGCGGGCTACTCGAAACCTGCCCACGGCCCGACGCCTGGCCTACTCGGCCCACTAATGCCCAGTGTTATTTTTAATAGAAAATGATAAAATTTTGATGGAAAAAATTTAAAAAATTAAAAAAAATTATTTAGACCTGCATGCCCAAATCCGAGTCCAGGGGCCTGGCCGGAGGCTCGGCCCATTGGCCCGCCCAAAAGCCCGAATACCCTTGGGGCTGAGTTTGGGGCTGCGCCTAGTTTTCTGGCCCGTGACCTAGTCCGGCCCAGCCCGACCTGGCCCAATTTTTTGGCAGAAGCTTGCAACGTCCGAGGGCTAAAATTACACCCCTATGCATAGGAAACCCACACCATGGATCATGTATGCACACTTTACCTTTATTTTGTGAATCCATGTGGATGTTGGAAATCTAGTGGCAAAAATATAATTTTATATTGAAGTTTTGTATACATTATTGTCAATTAATAAACATTTTTGATATATTTTATATTTTAAAATGATAAAATTATAAATCAGACACATTATTTTTTATGTAATTTTATTTATCATTTCTTGTCAACTCAAATATAATAATTATTATAATATTATTATTAAAAGTATTAAAAAAGAAGATTGAAAATTAAATAGAAATAAATGGCAAAAGAAAGAAAGAAAGAAAAATAATAAAATATTTAAACGCGTAACACAGCATTTTATATTTTAAAATGATAAAATTATAAATCAGGCACATTATTTTTTATGTAATTTTATTTATCATTTCTTGTCAACTCAAATATAATTATTATTATAATATTATTATTAAAAGTATTAAAAAAGAAGATTGAAAATTAAATAGAAATAAATGGCAAAAGAAAGAAAGAAAGAAAAATAATAAAATATTTAAACGCGTAACACAGCTGCTGGAATTGCTCACGATATTGCATGGTTTTCTTTCTTTCTTACGTGATTAAAACTCTCCTATCAACCAAACGGCGACTCCAACCGACTGAGATAGAGTCGCCCAAAAAATTCCCAACAACTCTCTCCTAAACCTTTCTCACATTTATCACTCTATATATAACACTAGTCTCTCCCTCTCTTCTCTCACTCCAATTCAATTCACTCCCAAAAGAAAAAAGTAAAGTCCATACCCAACATCTCTCTCTCTCTCTTTTCTAACCCACCAGCAGCAGCAGCAGCAGCAGCAGCTCACATGGAAACCCAATTCATCGTCTACCTCGTGGCGGCTTCCACGTCAGCATACCTGCTCTGGTTCTACCTCCTATCTCGTAAACTTACCGGTCCAAAAGTCTATCCCCTGGTCGGCAGCCTCCCTCTCCTCTTCATGAATCGGCGGCGCATCCACGACTGGATGGCCGCAAACCTCCGCTCCACTAGCGGCGCCGCCACCTACCAAACTTCCACCATTTGTCTACCTTTTCTAGCTCGCAAACAAGGGTTCTACACTGTCACTTGTCACCCCAAAAACATCGAACACATTCTTCGAACCCGGTTCGATAACTACCCCAAAGGCCCGACTTGGCAAACCGCATTTCACGACCTTTTGGGTCAAGGAATTTTCAATAGTGACGGTGAGACCTGGTTGATTCAGCGTAAAACCGCGGCTCTCGAGTTCACCACCCGGACGCTCCGACAAGCCATGAACCGGTGGGTGAACCGGACAATCCGGACACGCCTCTGGCGCATTTTAGATAAAGCCGCTACGTATAACACTCCTGTGGATTTGCAAGACTTGTTGCTTCGCTTAACGTTCGATAATATTTGCGGGCTCACATTCGGTAAAGACCCGGAAACACTCTCTCCTGATTTACCCGAGAACCCGTTTTCCATCGCGTTTGACTCCGCCACTGAGGCCACTCTTCAACGGTTACTTTACCCGGGTTTTCTATGGAAGTTCAAGAAAATTTTCGCCATTGGAGCTGAACTGAGACTCAAAAAGAGCCTCGACATTGTCGAAAACTACATGACTGAAGCTCTCGAAGCCCGCAAAGAAGCTCCCTCCGATGATCTTTTATCTCGATTCATGAAAAAGCAAGATATTGACGGAAACCTTTTCCCCAACACCGTCCTCAAACGTATTGCTCTCAACTTCGTCCTCGCGGGCCGAGATACCTCGTCCGTCGCTCTCAGCTGGTTCTTCTGGTCCGTCATGACCAACCCACATGTCGAATACAAAATCCTCGATGAAATAACAACGATTCTACGAGAAACCCGCGGAGAAAACCCGAAATTATGGACTGAAGAGCCTCTAGCGTTCGACGAAGCAGACCGGTTGGTTTATTTAAAAGCAGCATTGGCGGAGACTTTAAGGTTGTACCCTTCGGTCCCGGAGGATTTCAAGTACGTTGTTTCAGACGATGTTTTGCCGGACGGAACCGAAGTTCCGGCCGGTTCGACCGTGACGTACTCGATTTATTCGGTGGGGAGGATGAAGACTATATGGGGGGAAGATTGTTTGGAGTTTAAACCGGAAAGGTGGCTCTCGGCCGGTTTAGACCGGTTTGAACCTCCGAAAGATGGGTATAAGTTCGTGGCGTTTAATGCCGGTCCAAGGACTTGTCTCGGGAAGGACTTGGCTTACCTGCAAATGAAGTCAGTGGCTTCGGCTGTGCTGCTTCGTTACCGGCTATCGCTGGTTCCCGGTCACCGTGTCGAGCAGAAGATGTCGCTGACGTTGTTCATGAAGAATGGTCTTCGCGTGTACTTGCACCCACGTGAACTCACTGGTCCAGGGTCTGCCACGTCAGCAGAAGGAGAGGGCAGTTTCGTCATTTCCTAATTTGTGTATGTCTCCGAAGGGTATATTGGTCATTTAAATTTGTATTTACTTTTGTCATATATTTTCACACAGTGTTTGTTTTGTTTGGCTGGTTTAAAGATTATGTTCATTTGGTGATATATGAGGGTATATTAGTCAATTGAAAATGTGTCCAAATTGTAATGTCCATGTCCATAGATATGGGTTTTCATATATTTTTCAAAAATAATAAAACAAGAATATATGTTTTTAGTTCTAATGAAGTATCAGAGAGTTGAATGATTGAGAGCTGTCACTTTTTGTCCCCTTTTTTTTTTTTTTTTTTTTTTTTCAATTTTATTTTTGAGTAAATTGTGACCATGTCTAAGAGCATCTCCAATGGTTGTTGCTATTTTGCTATTGCTATTGCTATAATTTGGCAATGAATAGTGTTATTTTATCAAATTATAGCAATGGTGCTCCAATGGTCATTTGTTATTTTTGACAAATCTCAACCAACTTTCCCTCCAAGTTTGTATGTGTTGTTTGGATATAGGTTTTTTGTGATTTTATTTTTATTTATTTTTTGTCTTTTGTGACATTTTTTTACCTGTTTGTTACAAAAATTATATATTTATATTATTCCCAACTAGACAAATATAAAAAATTAAAAAAAATGAAAAATTGGAAAAAAAATAAAATTGTTTGATTAATTCACCGTACCAAAAAACATATCACTACATATTTAATGATTTTTTTTAACTACACATGAAAAATAAACAATCACCAATTACCCACCAACAACCAAACATCCAAATTAAAAATTAAAAATTACAAATTAAATGACATTACTAAATTAAAAAATAAACCATCACCAATTATCCTGTAATTATTCATCAGGAGGCATGGGGAAATAGTAATTTGGGCTACTGACATTTGAAGACCACTTGGCGAAAATCTCATTTTTTCGCATTGTGTAATATGCTTTTGTTTGAGGGTCCAAAAGAGAAATGTCCGTAGTCATTATCTCATGTTCTTCTTTTCTGATCTCAAGTTCTTTCATTTCCTGTAGTGCTTGAATTCTTTTTTCTTCTCTTTCATCTTTTTTCTTTTCCTTCTCAGCAAGGTATTGGTTGAATGTGTCCAATTGTGTGCTCATTTTTTGAACTTCAGCTTGAGCGACTTGATTTTTCCGAAATAATTCTTTTGCAGATTTCCTACCCATAGGCCTTTTACCTTTTGCAGAGACACTGCCCTCACCAACAGTTGGATTGTTACCAACACTTGGACTGGTGTCATCTTCAAGAGAAATGCAGTTATCCATAGGAGAATCGGGGGCTGAATTAGGGGAAAACGGTGTATGTATTCTTGACTTCACCGTGTTCGTAGGAGTTACATCTTGCCACTTGATATTGTTTTGCAAGATTGGCTAACAATGTTCAAAAAGAAAATGTTTGTTTTCATCTTGATGGTATAACAGTTTTGCTTGAAGCATCTATATCAATAAAATATTAAATCGGCCTTAAACGTGCCCTTACTGTCGCAGTGCATATGTAATAATCGCTCTTGCAGTTGCCATATGGAGATCTGAGTCCTCTGGCTCCATGATATCGCCAACTTGGGTGTATTCAGGGTGGTCGGGCATTTGCGGCGCAACTTACTCGTCGTTGTCTCGGATTTCTTACGTGATCGTATCAGATTGACTGTTCTAGCATATGAAGTTATGTAAAGCCATCGACGCACATACGAAGGGCACTTGATCGGAAAATTTTATTTTCGGCATATTCCGCAAAGCCTCCCACCTCGACCTCCAAGCATCGAATGTCCGCTTGATACAACTACGCAAGGACGAATGTGCCTTGTTGAACCGTTCAAACTCGTTTTGTGGTATTCAGTTGCGATGGGCATTTTGGTGATATCGATATCTCTTGTACGGGACTAGATATCCTATCTTGTTGTTGTACCCGCTATCGACCAAGTAGTAGTTGCTTGTACATGTAGAACAATACAACTGATAAATATGAAATTATAATTTTTAAAATCGTATAATGACTTTTTCACTTTAAATCAGTCGCAATTTCAAACTTCAAATCATATGTACAACCAATAAAAAAAAAGGGTAAATTACATTGACATCCCCTGAGGTTTATGTTTATTACAGTTTCTCCCTTACCTTTTGAAAATTACATCCCCCTCCTTGAGGTTTAAAGTTTCATTACATATTGTCCCCTAACCGTAATGATTATTGAGAGGGCAATTTATGTGAAAATTGGGCCGAGTTGGGCAATGGGTCATTATGACCCACAATACGAAGGGCTGAGTAAAAAGGCCGTAAAGTTACTCCGGCCCGAGAGAGGTATAAAGTTACTCCGACCTGAGAGAAATGTAATTTTACTCCGGTCCGAAAGCGACTTGGAGTTAGGCCGGTTGAAAGACGCTTTGAAGTTAGATCGGTCTCAGAATTAGCCCGGCCATGACGTATTGTGGTTAGAATGGTCAGAACCTTACTATTCGGTAGCTCGGTCTAATCACACCATGGTTTGTGCATGAGAGAACCGAGATAAGGTGTAGTGAAAGGAAGAACCGAACTAAGGATAGTTCGGCCTACTCTACGGCGCAGTATAGCCATGATTACCACGGTCCTATTAGAGACCTACCATGGTAGAGCCATCTCACTTGGTTTAAGCAGTGAGGGGGGTGTTGAAGGATAAGCATTATCTTTCAGAAGTATGAATCCTAGGAGGACTCTGCATGGAGAAGTAAAAATCCTACTAGGATTGTGCCACACGAAACCTATAAAAGCTCACAAACATCACTTTTGGGGAGGTAACACACAACTTTGCTTTCTGAATACACAGAGCTTTTGTCTATTGGTCAAGCTTACTGACTTAGGCATCAGAGAGGTTTCTGGCACACACCCGCCGGCTAGCTCACGTTTGTGTTTTCAGGTGATAAAGCGACGACGTACAGAGGAGTGCATACTTGATCAACAGGATTATACGAGAAGGTTTATTTCTTTCCCGTACAATTGGCGCCGTCTGTGGGAAAATCAGACAGGACAAAACCTCTTGATCAAGCTTTACCTCTTTAGGAACAATGGCGCACATTGAAGAATTACCACAGTCCGCCATCGACGGGCAAACACCAGATGGGGGTGCAAGGCGTGAAGGATTACCTTCAATCCCTCCCATGGCGGACTTGGAGTCCCAACGACATAACTCCAGAAGAGATACTAGGGGGAGGCGGACTCACAGCCCCGTCACTCTCATTCACAAAGTCCTGACAGGCAAAGGCGGAGGATTGATCCTCAAGTTTTGGAGGACCGTGTGAAGGAGCAAGACGAATTAATAAGGAAGATGGCGGCGGACATGGAAGCCTTGAAGCGCCAGATGAAAGGAAAAGGAGTGGCGACAGGAGAGGGGCGCAAAAACAAGACGCCCCCTCGCCGCTCAGAAGACCATGGAAGACATTCCACACCATCACAAGTAGAGAGTAGAAGCCTCAGGACAGGCGATACTGAGTCTAGAACCTCCAAAACTCGTTACTCCAGGTCTAAGAGAATGAGATCATTGAGGTCTTACACAGAGGGAAGTCCTTACCGACCCTCGCACTCGCACCAAACATTATCCAAACAGACGGAGTTGCCCAGATCATCCGATTTGCTGGAAGAAAAGGCACGATGGAAGGAGGACACTAGGGCGCGCGACCCTCGCAGAGTTTCTGCCCTTCAACGATTGGCTCCTTGATCGCATGGAAGCGTCGGGGTTGGAATGCCATTACCACGCCCTGCCTACGAACTGACGGACAAAGCATTAGCGAGGCTGCAGACCTCGCCGTTCGTTCCGGCAATTGAAAACGCGCCCTTACCTACAGGCTTCCTTCAGCCCAAATTCATTACGAACGAGGGGAAAACGGACCCCTACATTCACCTAAGCCACTTCCGCCAGGTTATGGCGGTATATCGACGAAACGAGGCTCTAATGTGCATCCTCTTCTCGTCAAGCCTTGGCGATCTAGGCTTGACTTGGTTTGAAAATCTTCCAGAAGGCAGCATAGCCTCCTGGGCGCAATTGGCAGAGGCGTTTGTCACAAGATTCAGAACAAACACCAAAACCCCAGTGGAGATTGACCAGTTACTCTCCATCGACATGGGTGAAAAAGAGACACTAAGGTCCTACAATAGCCGCTACTGGGAGACATTCAACCAAATTAGGGACTGCCCCACCAATCTCGCCATTGCATAGTACAAAAGAAGCCTTCCAGTTAGGAATAGACTAAGGGACTCGATCACCATGATGCCACCCCTCACCATAGAAGCCTTGATAGAGAGAGTGCATCAGCACATCAGGGTAGAAGAGGATGGCGCACGTGCCAAAACAAAATCTGGCACGACCATAGTACCAGAAAAAAAGACCTCAGTAAAGGTCAACGCGGTAGATCATCCAAACAGAAACGAACGAGGCAGGCGAGACAACGGAGAGGACCAGGATAGAAGATGGTTGAGAGTCCATACTGCCATAACCACAGTCTTCAAGAAACCGATCTACCGAATTCTAAGTGAAATAAGAGATGAGCCTTTTGTCAGATGGCCAGCCAAACTAGGGGAAGCTCAGAAGGACTATGAGGAAAGATCATGGTGCACCTTCCACAAAGAAAAGGGGCACCGCACTGAAAATTGCACGCCATTGAGACAGCACTTGGAGGAGTTTGTGGCAGCAGGTCATCTGGATAAATACATTGAAGGAGGGGCCCAACCAGCCCCCCAAGACCATAACAACCCCGACGGAATGCCAATCGACGCCCCACCTCAAGGCGTTATCAATGTGATACATGGAGTCTTCGAACCTGAGCGTGTATGCAAGCTCAGGGGATCAATCAAAAAGGCTGAACACTTAAGAGAGGTGCTAAGTGCCCAACCTGCCATCAAGAAGGGGAAGACAGAGGCCGCAAACGTCATGTCTTTTTCAGATAAAGACTTGGAACGGATATATTGCCCTTACAATAATGCCCTAGTCGTCACTCTCCGAGTCAAGGATTTTGACGTCAAGCGGATTCTGATTGACCAGGGTAGTTCCTGTGAAATCGTGTACTACGAAACATTTAAACAATTAAAGCTGCAAGACAAAGACTTGGCGCCTGCCGTATCTCCGCTAATTGGATTCAACTCCATGCCAGAATGGCCCGTCGGCAAAATAATT